GGGTCACAAATGCACAGGACAGCTCAACTGAACATTCTCCAATGGTAATCAGAAGGCACCGCTTCGCCGTAACAGTTAAGAGGTATTTATGTCTTTCCGCTGACCATAGTTCTTCACAAAAATAATTTCGCTCAGTTGTTTCTGTCACAGCCAATGAAGCGGCCGATCCGTTCAAATTTGTTCCTTTCCGAGTACAAATAGACAAACAGGAACCGATCATAAGTGTCAAGCTGCCATTTTCCGCCCCTCCTCGCTGTTTCTTTCTCTCTCTCTTTCAAATGCCCAAAAATAGAGACAGGCTTCACAAGAAGCGTCTGGAAGTGCCACGTCCAATATTCGTCTAGACTTTGACGCTGAGAACGCCCACACAGCAGTCCGATTTCCGACAGGCCGAATGTGCCCAATTGGGGTCTGCAACACAACAACACGCAACGCTGGTTCTCACGTGGGAACATTCGTAATCTGGCGCTTCCGATAGCCCTTTCCTGGGGGACGTGGGATTGGGTACGCCGCGTGCTCTTTCTCTTGACGTTCAGCAGGATCTGAAGTTGAATGCGTATTGCACGAGAATTGAGTCTCTGACAAAGAGCGAATGCTCTGTAACAATTGAAAACCGTGTCGTTTGCCCTGTTGGACCCGCGTATCAAATTACAAGGCTCGTCAATAGGTTAGCATTTGGGGTTTGCTACAGCAGTATTCAAATGGGTGGGGGGAAGCAAAATCGAAACATTTTCTGCATTTTGTGGGAAATTCAAAACAAGACCAAAGCGATCCCAAAGGCTGGCTGATGCCCTGCAGGAAAGTGAACATAAACGCGGATGTCTGACGTCGGTTCAAAAATTAATGTTCGGACCGCGAAGTCGCGAAATTGGACACGCTTCAGTTCTTGCGAAATTCGCTGCAAATCTGTTGTGATGTCAAATTCACCTCGCTTTGACATTCGCCTGTACATGTAGTATGAACCAGCTGTAAGGTTGGTAGTATTTTATGTGAGAGTCCTCACTGCCTGATCGTCTTGTCATATTGATGAGAGTATGCCTCCTGAAATAGAACATAAGAATAACTTCAAAACAGCTCACAGCTGCCTGGGTGTCTTTCCATCATCCAAATGAAGTTAGGTGGAAAGACCAATGTTTGGATTTTTTTTCAAATGGCTTTACTTCGATAACCTTGTACAGGCACATTTCGTAAAATGTTCTGTTAAGGGGCCACTCAAAATTCTCAATGTTTTTTAAATGTCGACTTTTTCTCGAAATAGTGGGTGGGTGGGTCAAGGATATAAATTGAAAATCGAAATTCACTTTTTTTACATTAATCAACTGACTTGCCTGAAATACATCTAGCGTGCGCACAATGTCATCATTTTTCAAAAAAGCAATCTTTTCCACTTTCGTTTCCATATACAGACAGGTTGACCTTGCCTGTACATAATTATGTACGTGTAAAACATGGAAGGAGGTGGTTTTACTCTTAAACTTGGATAGGCGCTTGCAGTGGTGATCAATATAGGCCCCACAAATGTAGCAGGGTACCAGGCGTGTTTATAAACCTACCGGTGCACATTGAACACCAGTGAACATTGAACACCAGTGGCTAATAAAGGTGAAATGTTCATTGCCTGTAATCAAAGACTAACCAAACAGTAGCAAACTGCATCCAAATCTGTTGGCTAGAGCTAGGTCTACGTCTCCGTTCCGATAGATGTAGGCCAACATATGCATGTGCGTGAAGACGCGGTTGACTGTAGGCTTAGCCGTAGCTCGGGAGGTCCATTTCCAAACGGATTGGACACGGCATGCTGTTGTGTGCACGATCGATCGCGGTCGTAAAAACCAACATGGCTGCTACCATGGACAGACCATAAGAGATACCGGCAAATCTTCGGAATTTCTGGACAGAGTAAAAGTTAATAATTAAAAATGGAACACGTATCTTCCACCTGCACATTTGATTGCAATTCCAGCCATCATCTTGTCATACTGTGTTACGTATAGATTTTTACATGTATTTGAATTTATATCAAATGCATGTACAATGTACTGAATGAACAATGTTTTTAATCAAAATTGGGATTGGGTGGGTGGGTCAAATAAATTTTGGAAAAAAAAACCCAAATTTGAAAACAGTGAAAATTTTGAGTGGCCCCTAACGTTTGTTTGTAAAATTCAAGCAACTTAAAAAGTCGGTTTAAAAAAGGACAGTAACAAATTTGGTATTCTGATTAACTTTTACTAATCCCCTTTTGTTAGAAGCTGGCATTAAAACAAAAGAAAGTAAGACTAATTGACATCTTCACCCCCTCGGGAAAAACCACACCCGTGGCAGACACAACTGCCATTATTCCTGACAATGCTGCGACTCCATTCTGCCATGGGTAATTCAAGAGAAATCTGTGTTCCCGATTCAGTTGTGAGTTTTCCACTCTTCTGTTCCTTGTATCGTCAGAGATGGATGTGATAAGACCCCAAAGCTTTATGATCCAGACCAGTAAAGATCGTGAATCGTCTCCAGACAGGAAGGGGGCTATCAGTCCGTTTTTTATATCTGTGTTGTCGCCCGACGGAGAGAAAATTGGCATGGATCCATGTTCGTTCGTCAGTGCTCCATAATTGACTTAATCAGGGTGTTTTTCTGTGTCTTGCCGACAGTTTTAATCTGGAAATTTATTGACCCGAGTTTAATGGAAAAGTATTCTTCAGTTTGCACTAGGTGTACTTTTGACAGTGTTACAAGTGCTGACGTCCCCGACACAGGTCTCCACAAGAGGCTGTGATTGGATGATTCCTTTGGGATGAATGATGATGATGATATCCTTGAATGCTCTCCAGATGAAAATGTATCAGAGCGATAGCACCGGTGAACGTTTCTGCTTGTACCATGATTGTTACACTTGCGCACGTAAAGTATGTACTTTGGAGTGGCAAGTTATACCCAGAGGGCTATGTGGCACCTGCACCAGCTTCGTAAAGTTCTGCTCAGGCTCTTAAGAAGTATCCCTACAGTTTCTTTCGAAAAGAGGAGGCTGTGTGGGCCAAGTAATTGTGGAAATGTGTAAGTATGGCCCAGATCAACTCTCTAGATTCGAGGGCTCCCATCTGGGGGGAGCGCAGACAAAAATGTGATTGAAAAAAATCGTCAGAAGAGCCTGAGAAAAGCGAGGGGTGTCATTAAAAAATGCCTGCCGAGAAGACTTAGAAACGTTCACATGGGGAGTGAGTTTGTTTCTGGTGGATAATTAAAACTTGGGTTTGTTAATCTACTAAAATTTGAAAATCGAACAAAATCTGAAGGACCCAACACAAACAACACATTGTTTTTTTGTTTTAGAGGCCTTGGGGGCCTCGGTTGCCCACAATAGGGCTCCGAACTCTGTTGATTTTGCACTGTTTCAATGGAGCTTGAATTAGCGCAGTACACCCATAATGCCTCTGCCGGTCATTAGGTTCTATAGTTGGTCTCTATGTATGACAAAACACAGACAATGCCCAATCTTTGTACCCTTGGAAGTAAGTGTATCTTTCGTCCATATAGCATCCGCTATATCAAACATCAGTGTTTGTCAAATAGTTACTCCATCCATCACTTTCCGTTCGTTCGTTTGTTTGTTCGTGCCTGTTCATGCTGAAGCAGTTTGGACGAATGTCTCTGCTTTACTCTTGTGTTCTTTTACTGGATGTGATCACGTTGGTCATCGTTACATCCTATAACTCACTCCACGTTTAAAATATTCAATTTGTAAACCTTCAAGTAGAGGGTGACGTTGTGGACTTTGCGGAGAATACATTTTCAGCCCCGTATCGAATAGCATATTCGATAGTATGCTTTAGTATGGCATAGTATGCCTGTAAATGATTTGGGTTGGGTGTCCAAATGGTTGGCGCTACGTATCGATCGCCCGTGGCTATTATCACTTCTCTATGCTAACCATGCATTCATCTTAGAATAATCTAACACGTGCAAGGGCACGGAGGGACGATTGGACCGACGGAGACCGCGCGCAGCCAGCAGACGACAATCGGCTGCTCGCAATTCGATTCCCGCCAAAACAAACTGCGAGGAGAGAGAGAGAAAGAGCAGCCCGTCTCGAGGCTGTTTTTTTCACCTGCCGCTCGTCCAGTGCCTTTTGTGTACGTAACGCCTCTGACAGTGCAAGTACATGTACGCGCACGTCATCTAGCGGTGAGGAGGTTGCCTCTTCATTCCTTGATGTATTCATCAGGGCAAAATGTATATAATATTATGTCACTTTACTGATTAATTTAAGAAGCGGACCAGTGATTCATGAAAGTCAAAACGGTGATTTTTTTTTGAGGTTGTAAATGATAACACCCCTGATTATGCAAAATGGAGCACGCGTAACTTTGGATGATGTCATTTAATGCTCGCTACGATGGCACACATAGAACAATGACAAACATAGAACCATTAACATGTACAATTTCAATATTTTACATGAAGTGCTCAATTATTGAGAAGTCTTGGGGAAAGTCCGCCTCCAACATGCCAGTTCCATGATTTCCAATTAATGAATTCATCATATCTTCCAAATCAATGAAACACTCTGATTACAGCACATATGTTAGTCGGTAAGAACGGGTTCATTTTAAGTACCTTGGAAATTACAATTCCTGGTGAAAGGGAGAGGGGAAAAATAACCACAACAGTTACTGACTGATTCCAGCATACCTTGGAGTGTCACAAGGTCACCAAGTGCGCTCGTGACTTATCTCTTGCAATGGTTGACCTGTCAAACGGTGCCAGAAACAATGCATATGAGGACTGAGTTTATTTGAAGACTGGGGAAGATCTGGGGGTCTAGTCTCCACAACGCACTCTTTGGGATTCCTAGGGGGCAGAAAGGAGAAGAGGGGGTGGCAGTCGAAATGACAACGCCTTGTTGTGACTCATGCCTAGAATGTGTGGACTACGATAAGGATGAGTCGCGCAGTATTGTGCGCGGGATTTCGTATTTTGTTTTGCACACCACCGATCACGTTCAATATCCTATCGGTGCATCAGCACACGGTTTTACTTTCAATGTCTCATTGCGGTCCTAACGCGGAAACAAAAACTGAAAGGGCAACCATCTTTGCGGCTTCATGGATGGAAATGATGTCTAAACGCATGAAGCATTTGACCCGCATTTGACGAAACAATGCATTCACAGCGGAGAAAAAGATTGCCGGGGGCAGATCACGTGTAATCATTGGATTCTTCTCTTACCGTGCAAGACAGGCAAGTTATGCTCATTATAAATGTTGCTATTTTTTCCATGTTTATAGTAACTGCACGTGGATTTAAAAAAAGAAAGGTGAAAAACTTTCACTTGAAACCGCAGCTTGGCAAGGAGGAAAGAATTGCATGCGATACAGGATTGTGTAGTCAGTGTCAGAATACTGGCCGGTGGTACGTGTGAACGTGTGGAATAACAAAGCCGGTTTGTTACCGTGCAGTGACAGGTACCTGTTTGAACAGGTACATTACTGAGGTGAATGTTCATACTCCGTGACAGTTCACGCGGGATGATGACACACCGTAATTGATGCACGGTGATAAGTGGGGTTCCCGTTTTCGAGTTACAGTTCAGGTGGTTGGTTATGTTCAAGGACAGACTCATCCATGTACGAATTAGCGATACACTCGCGGTGCCCCCCCCCAGGTGGGGAACAACCAGCATTCGTTCTGTCAGTTGTTCCTTAACAGAAGTGGGCGACACAAATCTTCCACAAAACAGGGGTCCAATGTGTGCGTGCGTCAGCATCGTGCCTATCTGTTATAACGAAAGATTTGTTTATTGTTGTGAGGCCTTGCACGTGCCCAGTTCAAGCTACGTGTGCATTGCATGCATGTACTGGTTAGGAGAGTACTGGAGATTCTCGTATTTAGTATCTGTTCTGAGAGTGAATGTTGGTAAGAGGTTTTGCAACTGATTCTCTTAACTTTAAACCTAAAAATTGTCATCTAATTTATCAAATGTAAAATGATACATTATGTAATGTTGCTCAAGTCAATGGCCATGTACTCAGTACTTACGTAATGTGAATCACGTTTGCTTATTGTAAAGAATGACAGCATTGAAATAAATGATTCATTCATTAATTCATTTACATTTTACAGCGAGCACGAATCCCTTGCAGTGATACCGTGCACGATATGGGCCGATGGGTCCCTCCCCCGTGTCCAATCCCTCTGCTCACTCTAGACTATTGTTACCTGACACATCACACACTAGAAGTCTGTAAAGAATTCCTGAGATTCCGATCAAACAATGACCAACCCAAAGGCAGGGGGGGTTCTCTCCGCCCCGTATCTTGCACATATGCAGCAAGGTATGAGACGGAGAGAACCNTGTTAAGTAACAACAGTCTGGAATGTGTGTAGGGATTGGACATGTTGGGGGGGTACCCCTCGGTCTTATTTCTTGCTGGGTATAATCTTGCATCATATTCTTAAGTGCATCCTGACTACCCATAACGAGGCCTACAATCAACGTGCGCTGTGATTATATCCAGCAAGAAGTGAGACCGAGGGGTACCCCCAACATGTCTAAACCAATCGCTATACACACTCTGCACTGTTGTCACCTAACACCCCCCCATGTCTGAAAAGAATTCCTCAGACTACAATGAGACAATGACCAACACAGGGGGGGTCTCTCCGTCTCATACCTTACTTCAAACTGTGATCGAGGTCCCCCATTCTGAAGTCGCTATTATGACATTAGCGCTTCGGACTCAAGTTTGCATTTTCCCCTGGACTTCGAGCTGGGTTTTGCAGTGACCCCTGAAGCCCCTCTCCCACGCGAACTCGAATCCAAAACTTTGAAACCTAGCCGGCATCCGTCCCCCAAGCCCAGTAGAGCTTACAACCAAGCACTCGCGTGCCAAGCCGCCAGCGCGTGCCGGCCATGCCCCCACCCCCCATGGGGATGCCGATCGTCTTGACCTTATCTACCCCGGACCGCAGGCCAAATAGCTCCCCTCAGATCCTTATCTGGGCCCAGCACGTGTCATCGTCACCTTGTACTTCCGAAATAAACTATATCCTCTCTGTAATCCGGGTAACGGAGTCGGGCCACGCGCTTACATGTCGCTACTTCCGATAACACAATTTGGGGGACCTTCCCAGCTAGAACTTGCATTGTATCGACGTTAGATCGTTTATTTCATATTCCATAAATATTTCCACTAAAGCATACGTGAAGTGCAATCGATGGCCCTTCGCAGTGGTGAGGTGAATAAACTGAACAAGCACTACTTTCTGAAATGGATGTTCGAGCATCTTTGGAGAGCTTGAATTTGCTTTTGGTGGATAAAGAAAAAGTGCAATAATAGCTGGCTTTATTGAGCTTCTGAATAAAGTGTAGAAATCGATGTGTCTGTGGTTACTTGGTATATTGTGGACTACCCTTCTGAAACCTGTTCATCCCCTTTCCAACATTAAATACGATGCCTTGCCTGCGAAAAAAGCACTTTGTGCAATTTCCAACAAGTGCTCTGATCTGCCGGTACTTAAGCCCAAAATCCAAACTTTAAACTCGACGTCTTGATTCCTGTTGTTTCGGAACCGTATTTTCTTTCCTAGAAAGGGGAACTGCATTAGTTTAGGGTGCTCTGTTGTTTTCCGATAGCATGCGCGTCCTCCTCGAAAACTTTTGGACTTTTGAATCTGAGGTTTCACTTTTGTTTGACTGAATCTTATCGTGCTAAACAGTCTGTTCATAGCCAGAGGCAATAAACACCAAACGACGTTTTCGCTGCAAACGAGGTTTTCGGACATACCAAAAGTATTGCGAACTACTTACCTTTAATACAAATGGAAAGTTAATAGGCTGACGGTTTCGATCCCAGCAGGATCTTTCTCAAAGTGGCTATTTTCCTTGTCTAATACCATACATGCAACCCCTATTGCTGTAGCCACTCAATATGGTGTACTTCCTCTTGTCGTTCCAGGAAGCGCTGTCCGTAGTCTCGGAAGACCAGTCCATGTTCGAAGGCACTTACCAGCACCACCACCAGGAGGTACCCAAGACATCGGCCGTCTCCTCCGCCGTTAGTCCCCATCACCACACCACGGCGCTCCAGAGCGCCGTCCCGAAACCCAAGTTATCCCCGCAGTCCTCGCCGGTGGTCGACCACAGCAATACCTTGCCCAGCCCCCAACAGCAGCAACAGCAGCAGCAGCCGCAGCCGCAGCCGCAACAGCAACAGTGGGTTCAGTGCAGGCAACAGGAGATCAGGATGAAGCAGGAGCCGGACCACGGAAGCCACGGCCACGAGGCCGGCAGCATCGGCGGCCGGGTGGTGGAAGCCGAGTCCCCGCTGGACTGCAGCGTGACCAAGAGGCAGCCCCACGGGACGATGACCGAGGCCACCCAGGCAGCACCGCCATACCCATGCCCGCCATACCCCGGATCGGAATCGGACCGTGCCCGGTCACCTCCGCCTAACGTCACAACCAACGAGAAGCGGGTTATCGTGCCTGCTGGTAAGTGCAGCTTTTCCTTGTTTTTTATTTATTTGTATCAAGGGCACGATGACGTGGACTCCCCAGTTGACCCACGTTGGCTCACACCACAGTGTAGTTAAGTTTAGAAAGGATACGAAAAAGGAACCAAAACACCCCCCCTCCCCCAGTAAAAGGGAAAACGAGACAAAAGACCCCCAAGAGAAACCTATACACAGGAACCTTTTGTGCTTGTGAGTATATTAATTTTTTTTCTTACTTGTGAGCATTTAATTTTTATTTGTATTTTAGTTTCAATGCGTATTTCTCTGAAAAAAAGTGATCCATTTTTTTAATAATTAGTTATGTACACGTTGCTTTAGAGGAATTTCGGTCAGTGATATTTGACAGTCAGCGTTCAATTTGTACATGGATGTGCGCGGAAACGCGCCCGCCTTGGAAATCTCTCAACATTCTTGCGTACGTGAAATCGCCATAGAAATACCCAGATTTGAAAATCACGCGCCTCCACGGACATGGTACCCTTCTTGAAATGCCTTTGCCCTTCATGTCCCGTCACGTGAAAAATCTACCCAGCCACCAATACGCTTGCATGCTTTATCACTCTCCAAGTGAAAGCCAGTCGATATTGCCCAAAGTCGATTGGGCTCTCCACATCCTTGGCAAAATCCTTGTCAAACGTTTGTGTCATTGCCAGCATGAACAAACCAGCACTTCATTCCGGGCCCGCTTGAAAGATTCCTCAAGACTTTTTCAGGAGTTTTTTTTTCACATTTTATAAAGCAATGACGCACCAGAGAATTTTTTACTCCAGTCCTTTGTCGATTTTTTTTCCTATTTTAATAATTTAATAATATTTTACGTCTCCCCAGTTAAAAAAGTGTTTAACCACTTTTTGTGTCCACCTTTTTACACGTTTAACCCACGAAAAGCTTATTGAAATGCGTTCAGGAATATGTTCAAATACTAAACGCTTTTTCATGGTACACGTTTAGCTCAGTGAAATACGCTTAGCACTTAAACACATCTCCTTAAGCATTTCAATGTAAATGTCTGAACACGTCGTGCGTGAAATGTTAAAATTTGTTCCTAAAAAGGGTTTGGAAAATAATGTGCTTAAACCCTAAGCGCCTTCTTTCTAGCGTAAAAAAATCAGGAAGGACAAAACCCCTTCCGTAAACACTTGCATTTTCATAAGACGTTTTGTTATATCGTATTTTCATTGCCAGTCAAGGGGTCACGTTTTGGTGCCATGTCATGTGCTATTGGATGTCCTGGCATAATGCCTACTACTCTTGCAACAAGTTGAGGGATAAGGACATCACACACGACAAATGACCGCGTTTGCACCCTTGGGCAAATTCCTTGCGAATTGAGAAGTAATGTTAGTCATGGTTTGGATGCGTCGTAAAGTTTTAGCCCTGCGAGAATACAGACCCCGGTGTACAGGCTCAATCCATGCACATTTCTCGACCAGCGTGCTCACTGTTCCTACCAGATAAATTTAGGAATACAGGGCCATCAAGTCTTCGCGGTCCATCTGTGCATTACAAACATTTTTTTTACCCACGAAGGATGCAGAGTACTTAACATTAAGCTAAGAAAAAAATGGGCTCGACAAATATGGTGTACGATTTAGAAGTCTAACAGAGAAACAAGTTAACACGAGTAACTGGGGAAAACGCACAGAAAAACGATGAACCAAAAAAAACAAAACAAAACAAAACAAAACAAAAACAAGAAAGCAAAAAGCATCATAATGTAAAGTGGTGAAGGGAACTGCTGGCGTTACTAAGCAGTGCGTAACTGAAGCATCGTCATTTTACGACAAGTGTACCCAAAGGTGAATGTGGGCACTGTAACCTTTGACTCCGTGTGTCGCCTCTTTTGAATTTCAGTCCATTTCCAGGTCAGTTTACTCAATAATGCAGCATAAACGTGTATGATACATTTTGAAGGTTAAAAAGATGCCAAAAAAACAGCTTTCTAAAAAGCTGTACACGGCCCGTTCAGTGCAAAAAATCCCCGTGTCCACCTTATCCGTATTGCTTGAGGTTTGCAAGCTTTCCATGAGACGCTTTCGCCTTTCCACAACTCGCGAAATTTTCATCTCATATCGGACATCATGGAAAACACACCGCCAAGAATCTCATTATGGGCACAGGCGCACGGCCGCAGAAGACGCTTTGTATAACACGCCGTCCATCACCTGTCCTCCGCGCCGCACGGGCAGGAAAAAAATGCCCGGGTAGCCAGCGCACCGTCGCCAGTCCTGGCCACCGATCAATGAAGCCCTCGTCCCGGTACCGAAGTTAATCACTGGGACCACCTGCCCTTCGCACTTCGGCATCGCGCCGAGGGTCGTGTTTGCCTCTCTCTCTCTCTCTCGTCGATGGATTCGGCAGTTCATAACTCTGTGGATTTTTCCCAGCGCTCGCTAAATATACATTGCGATAGAATCGTGGTGTGGGGGGGGCGGGAAGAGAAAAACAAACTAACATTTAAAAGGATTGCTTATGGTTCAGTCAAGCCAAAACAGTGATTAGCCCTTGAAATGCAATATCATCCCTCAAACCAGCGACGCGGCTAGTCACTGCCATCTTACGATATATATATATTTTTTTATAGAAATCACATCCGTACGTTTTAACCTTGAATGACACCTGTGAATCTAATTAGACACAGCGCATCTAAGTTTTTGTTGTATTTATTCTTAATGGTCATCCTTACAAGCTTCATGGTCTATCTGCCATCTTCATTTTCAGATGATGGCGTTGCTCCTTGCTTTTACCTCATATCCCGTCGGCCTCAAAACAGTCGTACATGTACACAACTAATTTCCTGTTACTTTAAAACCTTCAAAGCATTACTCCCATCTATCCTGCAACGTTTTGTGTTTGTGTTATCTGTAAGCCTGTCGACATTCCGAATTATTCAATTTGAGACGAAACATTACAGGCTTGAAACAATAAGACAAAAGCCAAAAGGTGGTATTTTCAATGAAACAAACTTTGGGTTTTAATCAATTTGAAAAACCGCCCAAGTCATTCTATTCATTGCGTTATTACATGCAAGGAAATTGAATTCATTTGTCTCCAAACAAAATGAACCTACAGAAGTGAAAATAAACATGTATCCAGGCGAGTTCCAAGCGACTAAAAATATTTGTTTAAATATGCAGTAATTACTACCTTTATTTTTGTTTACAGTTGAATTTGTTTACCTGTCAGGACTCAATTAAACATTAAATTTCTACCGAAAAGGAAGCTATAGTCCTTGTGATTTTCAACTTTGTTCTGCGTTTGCAATGCTGAAAAATGACTGAGTCTCTGATTTGGGCTCATTAATGTTTTCACGGTGACACTCAGATAGCATGAGCCATGATCCTGAAACTTACTAATAATAGTCTGAGAAAATTCGCCACTCATTACTTTTAGAAATGTTGCAAATGATTTGTATGTAAAATATCAAAACCGATTATCACCCCTTCCTTCTAAATCTACTTCCAACACTTGTCTGCTGTTGCTGGATTTTTTGTTATTTTGTCTTTTTCTAGAGAAGAAAACTTTTAAGGAGACATGAAGACACGCCAGGTTCACTTGTGAACCGGACATACACGTAATCTGCATTCAAAATATAAATATATATTGACTGATGTATAAACTAATAAGGCGTCTACTGAAATAACTATTAATTGAATTGATAAAGTTTAAGTTGACCCCATTTTTTTTCCAATAGCAAAACACCCCCCCCAAAAAATATCAGCGTAGAATATGAGACAATGGAGATGTGAACGTGTTTCTGTTCGTATGCCTTTAAAATCGCTTTTCGTTTTTATAATCAAATTTCCACCATTTTATTTGAGCCCCTTTACAAAAACAGAATGCCAGATCAATTTATGAATACTTTCCCGTGGTGTTTGCGCAGCCTTCCATGCTATTTCCTGTGTTTCTGTGGAAAAAGTCATTTTGTCATGAAACGATTTTGTTTTTCTACTTCTAGTGAACTTCTTGGTAATTATTATGCTGCATGTCGCACAGGCCCCGATCCTCTACTCAATCTTAGCAATAGCCTGGGCCAAGTCATCTCCATGCGTCAGCTTTTACTACCAAATCCCCGAGAAAATCCATCCGAAAAATCCCCCTCCCCCGCTAAAAAAAAGCTAACGTTCAGCAGAACACGAGGCCCCATGCATCCCGATGGTGCGTTGTTGGCAAACAGCGTCCATCGAGCTTCGGCCAAGCAAGCAAGCGTCAGAAGACAGCCGGAAACGCCGGGCGAATGCGATAGGCATCGTGGGGAAGGCTAACCCCTGTCCGGAACGGAAAGCTGTTGATTCGATTGAAGAAATATCGGACTTCCTCCCCCATAATGGAGCGAGGGGGGGGGGGAACTAGGCTACTGTTAAGCGCTTCATCCTCGGGCGCTCACGACCCAGCTGCACACACGTAGGCCTATACTCTTTGCCAAAACTGGTCTTCAGACCCGTGACATTGCTAGTTCCCTCACCTACGGGGAAGTTGTACATTTCGACCATCTTTTCTTTTGTTGGGAAAAGTGGTGACTTGCAATTTCTTTAACTGACCAATTTAACCGCGGTTTGGTCAATAAACACGTGAACAAAGTACCTTCTAAGCTTTAATTCCACTTTCTAAACCGTAGTTTCGTACAACCAATGGTAACGCCCTATTTTGTGTTATAGCAGGATGCAAGTACCACCTTCCAATACAAACTGAAGACATGCAATTACGCACGTAATGGTTTTGGGGCATGCACAGGGCTGGAATCAGCGCGTCGTGGTCCCTTGACACCATTGCTCCGTAATACAAACACCCGTTTCTAGCGCTAGAGCATGGCATATCGTGTTGAGGTTCATCTGGAAAAAGTTATAGACTATCAGTAAAAAAATGGGGTTTTTTTTAGCGTTCCAACATCGACATTTTAGATACAGAGACACTTAGTCGCGTATGTGCGTAAATGTTCGTGCGTTTTACACCTACGGTTATTTCTTAGGTCCCACATGTTTCGTTTAGGCCCCCTAAATGATTCACCTAGGCACCAGCACAAAGGGCTAACTTGTTGGATTATCTGGCCATGGGTTTGGCCACAGAAATTGAATGCATTTCACTACTCTACGTTTGTCGATATTTGATAGCTCTTTCCAAAATTAAAATAAATTGATAAATAAGAAGCCGCGCCTTCCATCTTTTATCACAGGTCCAGTAGCCTTACTGTTAAAAGCGAATGACAAAAGGAAGTTAATGTATGTTGACTATCAATTTATCTCATTTTCTGTCTTTATATTCACGAGGGCCGAAACTGGAACATCGCCAGAATGGAGTGTAATATTTTCAGTTTTCGTCTACCTCGTAAAACAAACTGAGCTTGACAGCATGTAGACCAAGATATGAAGCAATCAAAACCGCGCGAGGGAAAATTTTTAAACGAAGAACATACCGACTGTTGAGCATGTTCCTGGAAGAAAAAAAAATGTAATTAAAAAAAAAATCTCGCATGAGCGGAAAACTCTCTCCTGACTTTCGTTCAAACACCCACTTTCGATTACCCTGCCTGATCTTTACATGTCTAGCAACCCGCCAGGAAACGAACAATCAAAGTCCCAAATACCACGATTTATAGCCCCGGATTTTTTAACCCCTGCCGATTAGGGGATCAAAAAACAAGGTAGTAATCTGGAGGTTTAACGAGAGAGATTAACCCGGTAGAGTGGGTCGGGCCAAGTTACGTTGCAGAATTTTCTCCTGCGCATCCATCAGTCACCGGGCCGGCAGCTGTGTACACCCATTTAGATAAGAGCTTAGCGGCTGACATTCCCAATACACCAAGCGACTGTGGTGAAGTCTTTGGCTGACTGTCGGTGGGCGGGGTGGGTCCCACAGTGAACAGACAGTTGCAAGAAGGGGAAAACACCATCGCCAAGGCCTATCATACGGAATGAACATGTAAGCAGTATACCAAGCGAACTTGGAAAGCAAAAGGAAATCTAGTTACTGCTCTGACAGTTATTATTTCGAGGAGAAACTTTGGGGCAAGCTTGAGGGATGCCATTTTGTCAGTCACTGTAGAGGATTTTGCCTGGCACTCGGGTTAGATTGTTTGTACTGGTTACCTGGGAAATCAGACCAGTGGTTGGAAAATGTAGACCTCTTGAACTTGCCCACCGTGTCTCCGAAAGGTTGAGGAGAGAGTCCATTTCAATCAGGGTTTCACGTCATGAGACCTTATTAATTTCTACCTTGTATTGTTGCTTTTAGTTAACCAGGTTGAATCAAGGTAGGGAAAAAATACTCAAATGAGCACATCGTCGAAATATAGCTCAACACCTTTATCATCCGTAACAATCAGTTTCCTAATCTTCAGCTGTTAAAATTCACCACATCATATGTTTCTTTTTAGCTCTGTTGTTTTGATAGTGTTAAAATTGCAATTGGTTAGGAAACCCTTCATTTTACTTCATTGCCCAAAATAACTGCAAAATTCAGCACGTCATGTAATTCACGTCTTACAATCGTCGTAGCACGAAATCTTCAACTATCGCAGACTCGATATAAGCTTTAATTTAAATCGTGGACCTCTTCCTTGCAAATGGGGATAGGCGAGCATGCAGCCCCTCCCTGTTCGCGTTTTAAAGTAATTGTAACGTTGCATGAAAAACAAACGCATGTTGCTTGTGATATCTGTATGCGACTTTTGACTTAAATCTCAAAAGTAACAGCTTATCATTATCCCATTGAAGTCATACCAGGGGATATCAGATAATATGCATACTGGCGTGGCGGTCTCAGCTGTCTCCCGGTCTCAGTGGCCCCCCCTGAATAGCCGGACTTTAAACGGACGACTTTTCCCCCTGTTGTGCACAGAGATGGTATGACGTATTGTACCTTTTTTTGTAAGGGCATGTATGGACAAAAATCTCTTCATGTCGTCCTTGTTTGTGTGACTTCTGACATTTTGCCATGCAGGTTCCTTCTCTTTATAAAAACTGGCAATTGGATTTTGGGCCAACTTAAATTTCAAAGGTCCAATGTTGTGCCCAGCCCGGGCATGATTTTTGTCCAAGTATTTGCCGCGGGGGGGGGGTGGGGTGAGACAATAGCTGCCATTTGCAAAACAACTGCACTTCCAAACATTCTTCCCGAACACCACCTCAAAGTAGCGATTAACAACACAAAGATTTGTCATGCTTTGTTGTACTTCAGTTGCTGCCTTGATTGCTTCCCGTTCTTCCGCTATATTTGTGACATGTAGGAGGCTTGCAGGAACTAAATGTACACGTAGAAAACACTAACTTTTCCAGCCTCAGCCCTGTACGTCCCGCAGGGGTCATGACCTCAGTGACATCACAGACAGATGGCCTTCACATCAGCTACGGTCCGGGTGCCTGGTTGTACTTTGTTTTCCTTCCCTAAACAGGAAGGATGGGCATCCGTGATCTGATCCCAACACAAAGGGAAAAAGAGAAGGGTTTTTTTTTTATTGTTATCTCGCGTAAAAACACAGACTTTCTATATCGCGGGCAAACACACAAAATGTTAAAAGAGGTCAAACCGCAAGAAGACCTTACTTGCTCAACATGCAATAGACAAAATATACGACTTTAGTTTCCGGGTTGAAAAGTCGACTTTGCATGGCCGAAACTAGCTATACTGTTGTCTTCGGATAGTAGTTTACGGCTTTACATTTTTTTAGGCGTTAACGACACTCAGTTTGCTGTCAGTTAGCAGGGTTTTTTTATAGACTATCGAGTTCAACTGGTGGATAAATTTAATACAAACAGAATTGGAAAATTGGTATTCAACTCCACGAATATCAGAAACTTAAATCAACAACAAAGGTTGGATTCAAATCGTACCTTCCCCTTACGATGGACTATGGGATTCTTATGAAGTTCGTTACTTCCCTTCGGTTGGGTCTTCTTGTTTGGCAAAAAACTTATTTGCGGAAAGGCAAACTATGCTCAACCGCCAAGTGCTCTCGTTGTTTGGAAAGTGCTGTTCTTAATTGAGTGGTCGTAGGCTACTAGGGATGAGCACGGGGGAAACCGAAACTTGAAGATGAAAGTTAAAGGCGTATTACTGGATTGAGTTTATTTTTCGTTAGATAACTTTGCCGTCGATAACACGTTCATATACAGACTCTCCCAAAATAAACTGGGCAGGCGCATTGCAAGACATAACGTTTTTATCTCCGCATGGGCGAGTGAAAACCTGCGCTGGGTACCAACGAAATCATTGAAAAAAGTTGCAGACATAAGTGGAATTGTCATACCCCCCCTTCCTTTCCGATTCAGGAATCAGTATTTGTGTCAAATATCCCAAGACGAAACTTGTCCAAGAATGGATGCGCTCAGGCGACTGGCCCAGGCCAACTTGCTTTCAAGTTGTATGATTTCTGGATGGAATGGGTGGTTTTCGTCCCTTGTCCTGCAGTTACATATTGGAAATCGGACACGCTGTTGAGCAGTCAGGCAGCGTGGCGTGCCTTCAGGAAACTCCGCGCCGATAATACAATTAAGAGCCAGAGCTAAGGATTCCGATTTCCGACACTGACAATTCGCTGATGCTGTAAATGTCATGTGCATGACTGACCGTGTCATGGGCGGGATGACTGCCACTCTTTTGCCTTTAGATCGTGCAAACAGCGTTTGAACCCTAAACATTAAAATTCACTGATCCCCCCTCGCTCCCTGTAGATCCCAACATGTGGACCATTGATCATGTCCAGCAGTGGGTGCAGTGGGCAGTACGGGAGTACTCCCTCCAGGACGTGATGGTTAGCCGGTTCAGCATTGATGGCAAGCAGCTGTGCAAGATGACCCGCGAGGACTTCACGCGGTTGACCAGCTCCTACAACGCCGACGTCCTCCTGTCCCACCTCAACTTCCTGAAGCAAGGTAGGTCCCCCGGAGTTCCTTGATAGCGCCCTCAGTGTTTCCGTTAATCGACAGCGCCCTCTATACTCGGGGGAATCGGGGTAAATGTTCACTCGTCCCACCGCGAACGCTCGGAAAACAAACAAATTTTACTGATTAAGCTAGGTGCTCGAAGATTAGCGTATATTAATTGTCTTAGAAATCAGATCGCCCATATTCCAAATTTGAAGCAAGAGTAATCTAGCTTACGGTGGGCTGCCTTTGTTTGTTTGTGTATTCAGTGCGACGCTGATAATAAGCTCGACATCATGCTACAAAGTTAATTCAATCTGATTTTTTTTCAAACTGGCACGCACAAACAAAAATGAAACTACAAAATAAGCCTGCATCATTTGACCCGTGTGAAAAGTTCATGTCTCGTTCAGCACATTTTGTATTGATTAGTCATAGTGAAAAAGGGTGTTTAGTATTACACGAACTGTGTTTAGTATTCACTTTCTGCTGCACGTACAGTTCCGATTTTATATACTAAACAGAAACATAATTTCGTGAAGCGAAGTTGATAACCTGGAAGTCGAAATGACTCGGCTTTTTATTGCAAGGGGGGTGGATTATTTCATTGCTTATTAACACCGTTTTTTAATTAAGCAGACAATGATGAGATCAAAAGGACCCGATTCAATATTAAGTTTCTGCCGGAATTGAAGACTGATCTTGAAGACAGATCTGAGTTTCCATGTCTGCGTCCAAAACCTTACAGAAGCCAGGCGTCTGGGCTCCCCCCCCCCATCTAAAAACAAACCAAGCACTGTGTGATGTTGGTGATTTTGTCTCTTTCCCATAATACGCTACGAAAAATGCTCCCAGTGGTGACCTCTTGGTGGTTCATTGTTCTAGAACCACTTCCTTTAGACTCTTTTCCAGTCCTTGGTGGTCATAAAAAATCCCTCCTGTGATAAAAATCTTTATTGTTGTGCGTCTGGAACCCAGCCAAATACATGGTAGCAAATGCGCTAGTAAGCAGGTCACTGAACGTCATGCATCTCCGGCACCAATCTAAATGGACAAGTTTAAGCAAAGTTCGATTAACGAACTACACTGTCAACCAGTGTGCGATCTTGACCTATGCATGTATAATGTACTGGGCACCAGGCAAAATCGACTAGTGGTTAACGAGTTGTCGCTGACCGAACTTTGCCATAGAAGCTTACTAATGGCTTAAGGCTGACGACCGTTATTTAGTTATGCAAACGAAGGGGAATTTTACTTGTGTGTGTTTCACTGGAGCGTCAGGTCCGGCTGTAAAACTGCGGAGCGCTTTGATCTCCTCATGTTGAACGTGCATCAGTTTCGAGTACAGCGCGTTGGCTGTAAGTGAGCGAACAGAACAGTTCAAATCATGACACCCAGCAAAGTTCGAATGGACTAGACCATGTGCCCCCGTCGAGGTGACTGTTTTGAGCCGCCCACGTACCGCCCATCAGTTTCGCCACCGATGCAACGTGACACGCTACAGATTTATCAAACTCACTCCAGATGCCTGGGGGGATCCGCCCCGAGGCTACAAGACACGAGGAATAACATCACGTGAAAATGGGTGTAAGGGGGTGCCTGGACCGTGCCATATCACGCCGTCTGTTTCACTGGACGTACCAGCTGACCGTGACAGACTCACTCACTGGCCAGGGCGATAATTGAGTTTGTTTCAGGGGCAGAAACATCCCCTCCTCAAGCATTGTTCGCGTACTTTTATGTGTCACTGTGCCCCGACGGGCCCATTTCAGGCACTGATACGCGTGCATGTCATCACCCGAAATTTTGTCATGCTAAAATACACAGGTCCTATACTTGTACATCCATTTTAACGAACCACTAATCAACCAAGATGGACTACAATTTGTGAAACGAGAACAATGAGAGCACAGCAATCACAATCCATAAATTATAGTTTGATTGCAAGTGTGACGTAAAGAACAAAACCAAACCCTTATACTGTTACTCTCCCCGAGCGTTTGTTCACAAGCGATTATCATCTTTGCTCAACGAATTTTTGTCCATATCCAAAGCAATAATGTTAGCGAGCTTTTACTAGGGAAAAACATACATGTATTTGCAGTCAAAGAGCTGTTTCTCCACATGCATTGGGTACAAAGGTGAAAGGTAAGCGTCGTTATTCAATTTGTAAGATTTATAAAGAGAATTTCTCTGAGCGTGCTTAATTTCACGTCTCCTGTTAGGTACCGTAACATATTTTTGACCTATTGCAACATTTCAACACTTACTCTACGTTTTCAGTTCTTGGTGCTGTTATCAAGCACAATAATTAGAGATTTTGTTTGTAAGTTGTTTTATTAGCACAATTCGTTTAATAAACAATAAACAAATAAGATACAGAAAACATAAAAAATCAAAACATCAACGGAAGCAATATAATTTTTTTTTAAGTACGAAAATAAAACCACTTTGAGTGCCCTCAATTTTGAAACATAATTTTATTCGCTGGGGGCCTAGATTATGTTTGTCCTTTTTATTTGTGGAAGTTGTTGGCCGGGAGAAGGGAAACTGCTCAATTGGCCAATTAAGGAACCACTGGAAGAACACGGTGCCCACACCGTACTGTATGCACGAGGCAAACAGTTCTGTCTGTTGCATCAACACCGTTCTTACTTCGGTCATTAGAAATAAAGTTACTTGCAAGCTACGCAGGGTTGTGAATCGTGCCAAATAGCTGGATGGTCAAAATAGTTTTTCGCACTGAGCAGTCAGATTGATAGTTGCTACTATATTATCCTCAAGTACGTGTAGGTTGCTACTTTTACCCTTTTCACTTTTCCTCTAAAGTCTCCCAAATCTCCCACAATACCTTGCCGCCATGTTTGATGTGAAACCAACTGCGAATTTGGCCTTGTGTGATAAGAGCTTTAGTTTCTTGAGAGTATAACTCCTTTTATCGCACGTAGCTGTAAAGACTAATCTGACGCCCAGAATTAGAAGCCATTACTGCAGTTACGCCACTCTCGAGAGCACGTGTTACGTGCGCATCGCATCCCTCCTCAACCGATCTGCCCTGAGCAGAAGCACGCCCTTGTCGGTTAAAAAGAGCAATATTGGTCGGGGATATTCATTTTGTTGGTAGCGATGCAACTGCAACGCTTGCGTTTAATGGTTGTTCGTGAACTTGTCAAAGGAACCTCTGTTACTAGGGAAACTGCGCACTCTCTTGGTTCAACTCAGGCCCGTAGGTTGTCATGATTTGTTCAGATGTACACTTTCTTGAAAGTTTAAAAACCCAAGCGTAAAGGAACCTTTCCATATGAAGGTTTTTTTTGGGGGGGGTGCGTTGCGTATATGATGCGTTCATACGTTTCACTTTCACGGACACGAAAATCAGCTCCATTAACATAACACACGTGACGGATGCGCAACGCGTGGCGCAAATGTTGACGCGCAGGTAGAAAGGTGCTTTAAGTCTGATGCCACCCAGTAGTAGCGTTCCCTTAGAGTTACAATTACCGTTCCCTGGACACGATCCAACATCAAAGATGGCGCACCAAAACGGTTCACGGGAAATGTATGATGTCTCTGCCAATGATTCATGTATCGCGGAGGACTGGATATCAACGTCGGGTTGACGGCGGTGAATAATTTGTTGGGAAAAGTTTTGTGTGTGCACTTTGCTCTTAAGGTGGTGAGTATGCATGCTAGAATGACTCAGTCCGTCATTCAGTGTAATGATGTCATGTGAAATGCTCCGTTCCTCGCTCAAGATAGGATAGATGCTGACATCGCTAATTGCAAAGTGCGGTGTACCCTTTCCTGAAGACACAAAGGCGATGTGGTACATAGGCGTCCGAGGTCATTACAACACTGAGAATTAGGCAGCTATCAATCAGTTGAACTTGGAATCTTACAAGCCGGAGGTGGATGCCGAATTGAATTAAAAGCAAGAATGGGACGAAGTCATGGCAGGTTCCGGGTAGACGGGTCAGTAATGTACACCACAGATTTCATGTAGTCTGTCACTGTCAATGCACTCACTAGGAGAAATAGTTTAACATTGGACATTCGGAAAGCTCAGTAGCACAGAAAAATCGATTGCTTGCTCGACAGGATCAGAATTAGAAGCGGCAAAGTTGGGTGGGCGTCTTCGGTAGCGATCGAGTTACAAAGTTACAGCTGCCACCGCATCCGAACAGTTTATCGGCTTGTTGGGTTTGCTGAGGAATATGGACGATTCGCAGTAGTGCGCCTCCAAGGGTTTGCAAGGCCAACCACAACGCGCGAAATCAGTCGATCCTTTCCGAACGCGCATTGGGTTGACAGATTTCGCGCACTCTGATTGGTCAACGCATTGTAGACTCTTGAAGGTGCACTTTTGTAAATCTCCCGTATTAGTTGGAGCTTCTCTCAAAAGTCTTCATTGTGGAAAGTCACCTCCTCGGGGTTTTAGTACACGGCCAAATGACATGACGCCCGAGCGGTTTTTATGTCGTCTTTGTTTTCGTCTTGTTCCTTTTTCTCAAGTGGGCTATCAATCATGTTTGACTGGTTTGACCTTATAGTTGAAACAGGTACTTTCTGTGGTGAACTCCGATCTGCGCTGTCAATTCAGACTGCTGCTGTGGTAGCCGCCTTTCAAAGCTGTATCCATCTCGAGGTCTGCGCTGAGGTTTAGGCCGCCTAGTTTGTAGACGCGGCTCGGGGTTGTTGTCGGTCATTTCCGCGCCTAACTAGCCTTTTCCTCTCCTCTTTGTACATCGTAGGTCGATAACAACCACAGCCTGGGAATTCTCGAGCAAGGTCTCACCGTCTCACTAATTGACGCTTGGGGGCGCAAGTTAGGGTTAACGTCAAATCTGTCCAATAGCCATTTGCGTACTATTGCTCGTGTACTACAATGTACGTTGATGCAAACAAATGTGCCGACTTTTCGTTTGTACGGACTGTACGGATGATGAGGGACGAATACGCTTATTCCGAGTGTAACAGGGCCATTATGCCCTCCTAGACAGGAGCAATAACAATTATGTGTGTGTTTGGGGTGGTAGTGATAGAATAGCCATTTCTTGGACTGTCTGATGAGAGTGGGAATAAAAGGTTAGTTAATAAGGAATCCGTTTTAAATATGCCCCTCAAACATTGGGCTTTCCGAAAGTTTAGTGCTGAATCAATCCTTTCCTATAATAGATTACAGTTGTGCCCTAAAATCTAGGTGCAAAATGATCACTTGGCGAACTGTGGTCTGTTTAGATAGAGTTTGCCAGTACGATAACGTATGATGACTGACTCCATTGGTAATTCACAATTTCTATTTTATGGAATCCAGTTATATTTAAAACAATGCACTACGTAAAAACGGAGCAAAGGATGCTACGTACGTCAAAAGCACGAGTTGGAGTCCTCTTTCATATCAGGCAAACTCGTTGGGAGCATCCAATGGAGCCTATTTTGATGACGTCACACTACGGCTCTGCAGTTATACGACTGTTTCATTATTTCGAGGCGAACGCGCCCGCGTGCGTGAGCGCTGTGCTTGTTTGCACTTCATTAACCGTGAAAAGAGGTCGGACAGTAAGAGCGACTTGGAATTGCTTTTATATCGACAGTGTTGATCATCACCGGATCGTATGGTAAAGCTGAACCATCCTAATTTGAACCCGGAGTAAGGTCCCGATGAATTTCAGGCAGATGGCAGCGGCCATTTGCCGAGAATGACATCGAACTTACTTAACCGGTTTTTCTCACTTCTTGTGCTATAAAACCCCTTATTACGGCCGCAAGGTCAAGAAACTCTGGGGGAACAAGAGCCTTTAGTGAAGGCACTTTTTTATTGAACCAATATAACTCGCAACTGCCGAGTTGGAATAAAGACTGACATGCTGCTGCCGAGGCCTAACAAACATTAAATGAAGACTGCTCGCAACCTGCAGAGCTTATAAATTAAACATCACAGTCAAACCGTAGACCATAGGTACCTTCCCGGCTACGTGGGCCCCGTCAGCTGTGAGGGGCAAACGCTAGCTAGGCTTTCATGGACGCGGAGAATGGGCTATTGTGGTATTCTACCGACGGTAGTCCGGCTTTTTACTTACAGCCACCTGGCTGCATTCTTGGGCCAAGGAAACTAAATGAAGGAATTCACAACAAGCCGTATTATGACATCATTAAATTGCTAGATTTGTTTGCCGCCCTCATCGGCACATTTTTACTCACAGCGTTCTCATGGAGGAACTGAAGTCCTAAAGCGACGATTATAAATGCGAACAGAAGCTGCCACGCTATGGGGAACAAGGACCAATTCCCTGTTAAAATGACCATACGTCAACGCAATGTGATTGATCTTTAATGGAGATAATTCATTTCAAAGTTCTCTCCCTGAACTGTCGTTAATATCGTTAAGGGAACGAAAGCAAACTAAAATTCGAACTTTGAAGGACTGCAAAACCTGATTCTGAAATAAACGTTGTCTGTGCCTCTCCCTGTTGTGGCTCTTGCAATGAACTGAGCTTTAGTTCTGCCAGTAACGAAGGCAGAACGTTGTTTTTATTCTCTGTACTACGCCGTGATCCCTTTTAAACATTTTGTATCCGAACAAAATTGACCACTTTGGGTCCGAACACCCTAAATTGGTACCCGTCACATATTTTATTAACTGCGGCTCACAGGTAATCACATCTTTCCTGTCAACTAAATAGAGAATGATATTTACTCGGCCTCCTTTATGAGTACTAACCTGCCAAAGTAATAATAAAAGATATTAGGCCTATTTACTTCTCCCAGAAGGATACAATGTTGTTCGAAAATGTTTATGCCGTGGCTACTCCTTAGCTACCTTTTGAGGTCCTTACGCATTCAGTCCGCGTGCAAGTGGCCCCCTGCTCACTCGAAAACATAACAGTGTCTTCCCGCTCGGCATCCATGTCAAATTTATCTTAATTCGGCCCCAATCTCGGTAACGAATGAAGTAATTTTCTGTCTACGTTTCGCGCAGAAATCAAATTTAGCATCTGAAAGCATTTATCAATTATCGGCCCATCATATTTGGGCCGACCTAGTTCTTCCCTAAGTGTGTTAGTCAAACCCGGGAAAAATCAGATTTCCTCTACATATAATTGTTTCTTGGCAAACATGACTCACGTCAGATTGATTTAAGCTTTGGATCTCTTTTGACATTTCATCAGCTCGAGCCTCGAAATCCCCTTTTAAGAAAAATGTTGGTTGAGAGGGGGGAAAAAGGCAGCCCGTTCAGCGATGAGTGCCTTTGGAGGAAAATAGATTATTTGTGACATTTTGAAGTCTCTCAGTGGAGCTGGAAAATGGCCGCTCAACGCCACTTTGGCTGTGCTCAAGAAAATGTCGAATAATTTAAATTTTCTTATATCAAACAGAAGACTGAAAAACCTTTAACAAAGGTTTCATTATATACCTTAAATAATCATTTTGTTAGGAAGCCTTTTGTCGCTCAAAGCTCAGCATACAATGTGAAAAGTATTTTATATACTGGGAGTAAAATCCATATTCTTACACTTTGCCTTGAATTCCACATTTCGGTTTGGAAAATTGAAATGATTTATGTAAATCCACTTCTGCTTAGAAATAGCTTCTTCTTAATTTACCATGCTGCTCTTCGCATTATATGCAGGTTTTGTTGTACATTCACATGTATCAGTTTGTTCTGAATAAATGTCCCATTTCCCAACATCTTACAATACGAAGGTTACAATATAGAGTTAGGAAACAATACACTACGATAAATCGTTTAAGACATAGCAAATCAGTCGTTTCTTCCGCTGTTTTGTTCGAGCAGGGGCACAAATCTTTAGAATACCTGTCTTCGGCAAATGAGGCAAACTTCTACCCCCGAATGGCAGTTACAAGCAGATGATTTACATGTTTTGTTTGTTTGTTTGTTTGTTGGTTGGTTAGGGGTGTTGGTTTGTTTGTTTGTTGGTTGGGGTGTTTGTTTGTTTGTTTTTTCACCCCAATCGCTAGCAAGACTCCCCTCCAGCACCGGTACATGGGTACCGCTTGGTGGCGCTGTTTGACATGCACATGAAACTCAGCAGCCGTGATGACCTTTTACAACTGTGTTCCCATAGCAAGCTGATGTCTCAATACGCCTAACTGCTGTCAAATCTGAAGCTATGAAGCTGGCAAAAAGAGGGGTAGCTATTCCTGAAATTGTAAAATCTCTCTTAATTATCCCTTTATCGATGGCAAATTGTATAATGTATATGTATAATTCCGCTGCATGTGGTTTTTGTGTAATTGGATTACGGTCGAGAAGCATTGCCGGCGTAAAGTACAGGCCACGTCTGTTGTACAATCGTGTTCCCGTCCTAACACACCGTCAACTTGAGCTCAATAATCGAGACTGTTCCAAGGGCTACCGGCATTTTAGCTAAATTTGGTTACCTATGAATGCAAGTACCATCATGGACGGGGAGAACGTGCGACGCGACCATTCTAACGATGTGGGCCAATTTTGCAATTCCCCAAAGCTTTTAGGTCTCTTAATGCGCGATTGTGATGTGTGTACATTGGCAATTAGGCGACAACTTTAAAAAGAGCGCACCGGTGTTGCAGGATGAGATCTAGGCCATTATACGATGCGGCCGGAGCCGTAGAAGATCTGATGGTGAACAAAGTCCAAAGCAAAATAAGTGTGCAAAGCGCAACTCCTCAAAGCGGTGAGTTCGAGGAGATATGTGATGTTGTCATCAAAGTCGATTTGGTAGGTTAAAAAAAAATATGTATATTTCTATCATACGGCTGTTTCTTCTTCCAAGCTAATTAAAGGGCTCACTGAACGGTTCACATTCACGACATGGTCGTGTTTTGTGCGTTCCTTTAATTGTCGCGGATAAACGCCTCACAATATTACTCGTTGAATAAACATGAAAATAAATTTCCTTACATTTTACTGAGCCAACTGCCCCTAACTGAGAGAAACTAAAGACTGCTATTAAATTGATCTGGTATTGTATATCACTCTGTATTACGTCATTACGGAAAATAATGGAGTTATAAAGCACGACGGCACCTTGAATGCCGTCTGGATATGGGGTCATCTCGCCTGCACATTTAATAACAAACCAAAATGTGGGTTGATAGCCGACTGAGCCGAGAAGGGTGACTGGACTTCTCCCGCAGCCAGAGAGCCAGGTTGCGCTAGAGACCCATGCTGACGGCCTGATTCGTAATGCATTCTGTGATTATGCTCCTAGATAATAATTGTTGGATTTATTCATTAGTTTTCTGTTTGATAACCTTCATTTTGCATAGGTTTTGTTGGTAAGGCTTAACTGTCCTGTAAGAAATGACACAAACTGTCATCTAAAATCGACATTTCTAATTTCCTAGCCTCAAATTTGAATGAGTAAGGGATTATTTTCCCAACGGAGAGAGGGAATAAACAAACCAGGCTGTTTACACAGCTTTGAAGTAGACTTTGGAGAAAATCATTCATGGAGAGCTGGTGTGTACAATTCAAGTGAATGTGGGGGATTTCAAACCATCGACTTTCCCGGTTGGGATTCGAACCGCAATCGCTCACTCATGTGACTCCTATGCCACACCCACTTTGCCATAAATTTCTTTCTCGACGGCTATGGGGAAAAGCGTGGGGGAGAGACAAAGTCTCTTCAAGAGACCGGAGAAATTCCTGACTGGAAAATGAAAGAGCATCTAAAATTGACTGAGATGACAAACTCGAGTACGGACTCGATACGGGAAAGAAAGGGCAAAGGACGTGCCACTCTATGCTCACCTGAGTTCCCAACCATTCCCTAAGCTTTATTTCTCAACGCTCCCACGTTCTTCCTGTTTTTTTTTCCCGCAGCACCACTGCCAAACCTGACATCTGACGATGTAGACAAAGCTCTCCAGCCTTCCCCAAGAGCCCCGCCCAGCTCGCAAGGTAACTCCACATGCAGGTGGACACGATCAGTAGTCCTTGTTTTCTTACTGTGTAGATGGGAGGAGAGAATGTACAGAGGAGCTCTGTGGATGTCATTTTATCCTCAACAAAATGCCCAACTGAACTGCTTACATATTAAATTTGGAATGCATGCGATCCCGCTTTCGTCATAATTATACAACACTACTTGCCTTCCACAACCGTGTAAGTAGTCATTGCTCTGCGCACAAAATCACGCGCACGCCAGTCAGTGAGCCCCGTTTTCCGTGGAGTGCAAATTTCACGCCACACCTGATCACATGAAGTGAGTCTTAACAGACATTTTCCACCTGCTGGTTCGTGTTAGCTCGTTTAGGAAGGAACCTAGAGCGCCTTTCAATTTATGTTCTGTTAGTTCTGATACTGAGGGAACAGAAGATTCAAGAATGCGCACGCCTCGATCCAATTTGATGCAATAACCGGAAGGGTCCTCAGTACGCCAACAAGTGCAGGATACATGACTGTTGAGGTCAATTTGAAGACACACAAACAAAAACCAAAAAACCTACAGAGGACGGGAAGTGGCAATGACAAGGCCTTGGCATGGTATCCACTGTCTTTGCATGCATGTTTGTGGCATGGTTGCATTCAAAGACACCGTACTGTTAATATTTTGGCCTGCCATCACGGCTACCCTGGTTGGGGAAAATTTTGCTCTAAGATACTTCAGTGACATAAAAATTGAGTGAAATGAAAAGGCGGATCTTAAAAGTCGAAAGGGACAAAAATTTCGCACCTTGCCAGTCCATCTTTAAGAATTCACTTTATGTCTCCGTCACTGCTTTATTCGACATGCAGTTTGGCAATTAACTTCCTCAAAAGAAAAAAAAGCAGAAGACGGGAAAAAAAGAGAACAGCCTGTGTTTGTTTTGTCTTCACCTCTTGCTTTTTAATATCGGCGTTTCTTAGCTGTGCAGAGGGTTTGTACATGTATATGAAAATCCCACGCGACTACAAACAAGCCCTCGGAGCGGGCCGACTCACTCGTGGTTCCGGAGGAAACGCGGCCTCGTCTCCCCTCCACGATCCTCTCTTGTCCTCGGTTCCCCCCGTCTGCCCCACAACATCAGAGCGAAAAAAAATCTCAGCATAAATGAAAATCGCATCGCGCAGAGCTCGCGCGGGGAGATGTGGTGTTGACAAGCAAAACACTGACTGTCTTTATGTTTTGGCACTGAATGTCGAAGGGGGAAGTGGAGCCCGTGTATCCCCTGAGCGACCTTCCGATTCTTCGATCGCTCGGTCCATGGCGTGATGATTATTGTCCGGAATTCCCTCCCCTTTATCTGCTATTCCCTCCTTCTCTTCGACGAACAAATATATGTTATTAAGTCTCTTGGTCGAGTTTGATGGTTGGAACAAGGCAATTTCATTTCTCTTTAAAAAAGAAAGAAAAAAGACCACGGTGCCTTCTTTTGTTTAAAGAGCTTTGTGCCGCTGGTTTGACAAACTTCCAAGTTGGATGTCGTCGTTTACTTTTATCAGAGATCGACGGGCAGTGAAAACAAGCGACTGTTTTTCCATTGGCGAGCATTGCAGGCGACCAAACAGAGACTTCACCGGTCCTAGCTGTGACTTCCGTCGTTGCAATTATCAGAATGTCATAGAAAGGGCTGGCAGTGCAGAAAATTCCTGCTGGTCTCTCTCGAGTGACTCTCAACATCATCATTGTCATCAGGCCTACTGCCACCGAAGCTGAACCATTGTCTGTACCTCTGTGGCTATCGTTGCTACCGCTGTGACGTTACTGTCCCCATGACAGCCGCTATTACAAGCCCAACTTGCGAGTCGGCCGACCAGGTTTTAAAGTTTTACCCGAGCAGGGTTATGATTTGTTTCCTCAAAGCTCTTGGATATAGCACTGAGCAGACAGTGCTCGTTAAATCACATCACTGAAGGGCAACAAAAATACTAAAGCACTTCTTTTCCCCACCAAGCCAATCACAACCAGCAAAGCAACCCGTCTCTGTCCACTCTCCTATCATTTTCTTCACTACCACCAAAGTCATCACTGTCGCCAACGTTATCACCACCACCTCCACGCAACATATACAACAGCTGTAGGCCTACATATTAATACGAACATCACAACCTTTAGTACACCATCACTGAGGGTGCGGGTGCCGTGTTTTACGTGGCACATGGTTTAAACTCTTTAGGGGTACCGTAGTGCCTGTCGTCTATAAGCAAGACTGCCTCTCTTCATTGAGACCAGAAAAAGAGAAGGAAAAAAAAAGAAAACAAAAACGGATCTCGTGAAATTGACCCGTGAATGTGGGTAACAATTCTAGGTACACTGCACCTCCAAGAGGCCACAAAAAGGCCATTGTTCGCAGAGCATTGTGGGGAATGATCGACAAGTTCTATTAGCCGGCTGTGCGCGTGAAACTTGCATTATCGATTTTTGCCAGGGAGGGAGATTTAAGGGCGTATTGTATTCCAGCAATAGTTTTAACTAATCCCTTTCTCTCTCTATTGCATGAACTATTTTCCCAAAGTTTTCTACTGATATGTGCTCATCGCAAATCGTAGCACGGCGACCATGGTATTTGTCGACTGTGAACTTAACAAAAAAATGGCCTCTCTGTGGCAACCTCTAGGTGGCGCAGTGTATAGCGAATCCCCTCCATTGTGATCAATTTTGATATGTCAGTTCAAAACGTACCCCAATATAATTCGCATTCGTTCATATACCCACATAGCTATATTTTAATGACTTCAAGACGTCACCATGTTAGCACGCACGCTGATGTTGACAATTTGAAGCGAAAGGAGGTTCTTCCTTCAAATGAACGTGAAAAACAAAGCGAGTTTAATTAGCCTTATGTCAGTCATTTGACACGTTTACTGTTACTGTTGCCTTGAAAGGTTTGCTTCGCTGTTGGATGTGCTTGACGAGAGAATTCGCCTTGAGTGGGCAACCATTTTTTTTTATTTTTATCATCAGTGTTTTGCCAGACAGCTAAATTTGTTCTTGGTATAGCCGTGAAATCGTGAAGAAATCCAACTGATCCAAAACGTGCAAATACACTTGATCGTGAAGAGACCACTCTGGAGAAATGCTCAACCTTAGAAGTAGGAAGACATTCCGAAATAATTATGGAAATTTGTCGACGGAGTCATACGGGATTTAGTTAATACCCAATCGACGTGTCAGACTAGTCTGCATGAACTCAACTCCAGCCGCAAAGGTGGAAAGGGGACCGTACCTTGCATGCTCCAACCTGATAATCCAATAATCGTGTGTTACTTGTGAAACATTAAAATAATGTGATAAGTTTCTCATGTTCAAGATGATTTTAACGTTGATCTGGGTTCTTCTTTCCATGCTACAGCAACAAATATTGGAACGGCTCAATCGATCAGCGACAAGAAGTACGCGTGTAATGCTACAAGTTACTACCCAGATCAGATGCAGAAAGGTATAATGTATGCATGTTTTAACCAATATAGACCTTGTTGCAGGTGGACGCAATGCGTCTCGCTTTTCCAACAGGGTTGGCAAGATTGATGGTGTTGTTTTCGTTGTTATGAGCTTTCATGATGTTGTAATTTTTTTCCCCTGTTGGTTACAAATTCTCTCTTGCTACTTCTGATGTCGCCAACGTTTTTACGTTAGCTCTTTCAACTGATTAAAATTTGGCCAGTCAGTACAGACCATCACAACTGACATTCGAAACTTTGTATAGGATTGAACTCTTTTTTAGTGTGACAATGTGTACATCTAATGACGAATTATTATCAGATTTATTTGTTCATTTTTTTGGGGGGGGGTGATTTTTTTTTTTAAAGAGCGGGTAAGAACTATTTTTCTCTTGTTGCTCACACAGTAAGTGCCACCGCGTTTCCGTACCCCGTCAGCACGCACGTGGACACAAATACCCGGATGCAGCGAACAGGTAAAATGAAAATATTTCACTTCTGTCAGGACGGAAGATTACTCTAATTGTGACTAACACAGCCTACATTTACCAGTGTTTGACTTTGTCGTCCTGACTTATGTTTGAGTAAATAGAGCTCTCTACAGGCATAAACCACTAATTTAGTCGACGCTGATAATTTTCGAGAGGGGTGGAGAGTTAGATGTGAAAAAAGGAAGAATGCAGGAATCGTCTAAAGGGGAACGTTTTTCTGTCTTAGTATCATTTCATTAACGTGCAATCAGTTTGGTGCGTTATGTTGTAATTCCTTCAATGTGCTTTCACCGAATTTCAAAACAAAGAGCTCAGCCGCAAATAATCAGCCAAGAATAACCTTATCAGTTCCTTGACCCATTCGCAGCTGAGACACCCCCCCCTTCACTCATCTGTTGAATCTCACTCTATCACCTCGAATTTCATGCACGGTCGGTGATCCCTAATATGTCTACTACCACGGCACCAATGAAACAGGTGATTTTCTTTTCTTCGCCATTTTTCTCTCCTGTTTTGTCCCTCTCACTTTTTCCCTCTTCTTTCTTCACCGATGACACCAATAAAATAATTTTGCCTTTCAGCAAAAGGCCAGCAAGCGTGAGTAAGTCTCTTAGGCAAGGCGCAGGGAGGTGACGGAGGTGATGTGGGGTAGATGACTCCAGAACTCGCTGTCCAACCCCCCCCCCCCCGTCGGAAATGCTCGTCGGACCGCTAAACCCTAAATGTTTTCTTCGGCGCGGAAATTGTGTACTAAAAGCCCCCGGTCGGCTTTGGTGCGCGCTCAGTCCGAAAATCTCGCAACAATAGGGGCATTTCATTCCCTATAACGTCGGTTTAGCTCGTCTTGGCGGGCAATTAAAGTGACGCGGGCGATATGCCTGGCGGACGAGGCTTGCTTTGTTCGGATCTGCTGGACCTCAAACGGTGGCTGACTGCGGCTCGCCGAGTGGGTTTTTTATTCAGTCCTGGTGTCGTCTCTGACAAGAATAACCGAGTTCCGTGAAGGCACGTCAGCGCTCATTATGGTTTAAACTGGCTCGTGACGTGGCGTCTCAAGACCACTGCGCATGGAACTACGGCGCTAGTTCGCTGATGAAGAATATCCAAAAGAAGAGTATGCTGATGAGTGGACTCTGGGACGAGTAGCCGCCGACCAATAGTCTCCGGCTTCACGTGTATATATCGGGGTATAGGGATGAATGTGTGATTGTGAGCGCGTAGTTCGCTGTTTCGAGCATTACCCGCGATGGCCAAAAAAAAAAATGGTATTGATTTTTTTCTTCCTCGGTGGCGGATTGCCGGCCTACACCAAGAGCGAGGGAGGAAATAGTCCCTTTGTTGTCGAGATCCCCCGTTATGAATTTCTGCCTGTTGCAGGTGCTTTTTGCGGCTGCGTTTTCCCCCACTACCCCTTTCTCCTCACTATCTCTCTTTCAGCTTTGGCGGGATTTCAATTCCCGATCCTAGCCTCCAACGATTGGTCTAAGATTTCACATCCTGTGCGCGACTATCAATTTTCACATGAATGTAGAAAAAAATCGGCTGCCAGCGGACGCGCGCGAGAGAACGCCGCCCCGCCGCTTGCTGCCTCAGTGTCTAGCCCCGTCCCCCCCACCACGATTCTCTGGCCTCTCGCTGAGAAGAAAGGTGATCCTCGTAATTACAGTCTGTGTTGATTCATGGCCCTGTGAGTTACCCCTGTGAAAACTACCTAATCGTGGTGCCTTGCCCCACCCCCATCAGCAATAAGTCGGGAGGTATAGGCTGCCCGAGGAGGAGAAAACGAAACCCTGCTCTTAGCAGTGTACCAATGATAATTGCCCCCTTCCGCCAGGGACAGACCCTCTCCCCATATTCCGGGCCACGTGGCTGTTCCATTCCCTCTCGACCGCTGCCTCAACACCGGACCTCATTCAGTAGAGACCAATATGAAATCATTGACGTCCTCGGAGGCTACTCCGGTTGCTGGCCGGTTCATCCAAGTTTTCAGTCCGTATATGCTGAACCCGGGTTATGGTTAAATTTCAAATATGAGAGATCAACATACATGACAAAAGGTTTGAAAAAAATCGACGGAGGACGGCGTAAATCGTGATTGCTAATGTCTAGATTCGATAAAACATGGGTGGAAAGAGCCTTACGCACGTGTGCTGTTTTTTTCAAGAACAGATGAGGGCGAAAGATCGCCGTATTACGTATGTCGGTGAAGAACGGCAACTGGACGGACCCACTGTCGGTGATCTATGCTTTGGGTTTACTCTGTATCATGCTTGATGTAGACGTGTGTGATCTGTGTATTGGACCGGTAGTTGTCTGTTCTTCCGTCCGTTCATTTGATGGTCTGTAGAGTATCCGCTAAAAAACTTCAAGCTCGTGATTCAGGTTTGGAACCTTATGCTACTTTGAGCAAAAGGGCCACGTATAGACGTTCGGGTAACACGTGGATATTTGTTTCTGTCCATCCATCACTTGGCGTTTCCGTTGCTTTGTACGCCAACGTTATGTGGTTTGTTTGTCTGCTTCTTTGAGCGGAATGGCGTTCATTATTGGTAGTGTATGTTTCCAACAGTCTGGTATGGTTGAAATGGGAGGCAGAAATGGTTGCGGATATATCGGTGTCGATTCAAACGCTTGTCAAAACTTGACTCGTCGCTGGAACTCATCAGATGAATTGAATTTGCTCAAACGAAGTTGTACCTAGTCCTGGTTGAACTGAGCAGTCTCCATCAAATTCTAGCCCACTGATGCGCTTTATCATTTTAATAACTGCATTTGAAAAAGAGGAACTGCTGGAATATCTACAAGTAATCCTGCTTGTATCGCGACTTTAAGACATTTCCCTCTTATTCTGAAATCCTTACCCAGGATTCTATCACTGTCCTCCATTATGTCTTCTGTGACCCTTTCTCTTTTTCCGCTGCCCTCGTCTCTGCACCCCCTTGTTTTTGTCTCCCTTGGCCCGTGTCTTTTGTGGAACTGGAGCAGCCCCCAGCATTTTAGGGCATCTCCGCCAACCACTTCTCGCCTCGGCGAGTGGCTGGAGATGGAACGATCGTCGCGCCGAGCCATCATCAGAGCTCGCTCATTGTGTCGGGTCCCCCCCCCACTCCGTTGGTATCGGGAGTGTTGTCGGGAAACCCAGTCACACTAGTTACTCGAGGCCAAATCTTGATTGGCTGATGGACACCATTAGCCCCGTCCTTTGTGTTCACATTTTGGAACAAGTGGTTCAGTCGAGAAGTGGGAGAATTAGAGTGAGAGAGCAAGTGATATTGGCAGACCGCTCAGGATGATTGCCCGTATATCATCTCCCTCGTTTGGCCTGGCTCACTGTGTATCGTATTTTATACCGGGCATTTGGGGCTGAGAATTGGTTCTGATCTTGAGCCGGTGGTGATGGGCACGTTTAATTTGATTCCAGTGCATGACGCGCGTATAATTCGGCGTTATTGGTGTCATTTGGTATCTTCTTACAGTCAAGTCCGTGAGAAATACTCGACTCACCTGAGCTGAATCTGCCTCCAAGAATGAAAATCAATTTTAGCCAGTTATGTTTTATTCCTCCGTTCTTTATCTTGTTTTCGTCGAGAATTCTCTTTGAATTGTCTGGCTTGGGATGGGATGTTCGCACACTGTACATTCCTTATTGCCTTTCGCAGCGGGGAGTAGTTTGTCCAAGATGCACCCCGCTCGCGCCAAAACAAAATGAACCGAATGGCGCGCAAATGAAGCGTGCCGCGCCATTGAAACTCGTGGGCAATATTGTCCAATGGCGGTTCATAACCCGCGCTGACTTTTATTCTCTGCGTCTTTTGCTCGCTCGCGGCCGTGAGTTGAATGTCTCATTATATAGCCACTAAAGCCCTTGCGAAACGAATATTGGCTCCGCGAAGGATATTTATGTTCCGATGGCCAACACATATACCGCGGGCGATTTTATTACAACCCCGAGATTCGGCAGCGGTCGGCCGAGGCACACGCCGGGGATATTGCCGTCGAAGAAAAGGAATACGGAGGGGGGAAAAAAAGCCGGTGATCGGAGCTGGCAACCGCAGGAAGAGAGCTCGTCAAATCGGGAAATGTTGAAGAGAGTGGGAAAGGAAGGAAGCTCGTCTTGGAATTAATTGCGGAGAAATCTGCCTCTTCCTCGATCGCGTCGCGCTGCGAGCGAAATCTCCTCTCGCTTCGGTGAGCGCGCGCTCGTTGGGAACATGTACGCATGCGCGGGGGGGGGAAGCCTTGCATCCTCGTCCGAGTGATATAAAATCAAATACAGAAACGATCATCGGGGAAAAAGTGAAGTCCCTCAGACATTAAGATTGCGAGAGCGTTGCCGGTTTGGGTGGGATTTATATCCTTTATTGGGTTTGTTGAGTGTTTTTTTCCCCTTTCGTCTTCTTCTGAAGTCGAAGCGCGATCATCCGCAGTCCGCAGGCCGGCAGACAGGATGAGGCGCACCATTTTAATTAATGGCAATTCGTCGGAAAGAGGTTTGGAGTAGCAATTTCTGGTCCGGAGCGGGCGACGTGATAATCTATTGTTAAGACTGTCTCTTGGTTGACGGTGCTCGGGCCGGCGTTAAAGGGGGAAGAAGTAATATCATCCCTGCTGGATATACCCGGACCCCCGTCTTGGACGGGGCTTTCCTGATGTTCAACCCATCCCTCATTTATAACCGTCAGCTCTGACTGTAGCGATGATAAATACAACGTGGGCAGACCTAATATGATGACCATTAGTTGCCTCTCGGGTCTCCAATGGCGGCAGTGTAAATAGCCAACGATACGCTCCTCTAACAGTCTCCAGCCTCATCTGTCCTTGTTCTCAGAATCTTTACACGGACAACTTTAAAAAGAATTGTATAGAAATCAAAAAATAAATGCCAAACTCATGCAATCATTTTCTGTCTTCATAAGGCCAACCTTTCCTCCACCTCACCCGAAGGCATTTCATGCTTACCAAGAGGGGTTCGTGATAAGAAAACG